TAAACGGCCGCTCCTCCGCCCGCGGCCGAGGTCGTCCCGCGGGGAGCTGGGGGTCCCGTAAGGAGTCGGGTTTCGTCGTGGTATCGTGGGTTTGCTTTGCGTTCCTCTTAGGAAGGAACACCGGTCCTGAGGAGGTGGTAATGAGTGAAATGTGCCGGTTTGCAGCGAGGTGGGACCTTGATGGTGAGCCGGGAGGGTGGCTGCTGGCCCTGGTGAAGCCAGTCAGTAGCTGGGCAGGCTTGTAGGAGCCGGTCATGATTTCAGCCTCGTTAGATGTCTGCTCGTGGTTAGTTATAAGCTAATTTGGAAGAGAAGTGGCAATTAAGTCAACAGTGAACAAAAGCAGTGTTTTAAACGCGCTTTTAGATGGGAAATAAATCTTCTTTAAATCTGTTAAGTCCACACAAAAAAGCTGCAAGTGGGTTTTGTATCTAGAGCTGACTGGTGTGTTAAGCAGAAGAAACGCTGCAGTCAATCTGTAGTCCACTGTTTCCCTTTAAAAATGCTAGAATTGGTTCTCCTGCCTGACACTTAAGACCAAGCTAATCCTCCCCTTTTTTGAGCCCAAGTTTTTCAGTTTTGACTGCATCATGCTTGAACTGAACTAGCTGGATATCCTCAAAAGAAGGATATTGTATTCCTGTAAGGTGCATGTGCAGAAGAGCTTATTCCCATCAAAAGTTAATTTAGACTAAAGTTAATTTAGACTAAAGATTAGTCATTGACTTACCTTTTTTTTTTTTATTTTAATCCAATCACTGGTTGGGCTTTCCTCAAAACTTTTAACACCAAAAGTGTATTTCTCTGCCAATACCTTATGCTACTTCAGCAAGTTACAGTTAGTGTGCACCCTAATACAATATGTAAAACTAGTTCTACATAATGCAAAGTGGAATTCTGAATAGGATTTTAAAGAAAAAACACTTGAATCCATTTACGGATAGCCACCTTTGTCCATCTCGGTGTGAAATTTTCTCATTTGCTGTTTGCAGTTATTGTCACTTTGGCATACGTTCAGAGACAACAATGTCCAGTGTACCAGTGGCCGTGGTGACCGGGTCCAACAAAGGGATTGGATTCGCAATTGTGCGGGCTCTATGCAAACAGTTCCCGGGGGATGTGTACCTGACAGCCCGAGACCCCGGCCGTGGCCAAGAAGCAGTCGCAAAGCTCCAGGAGGAAGGGCTGCGTGCACTTTTCCATCAGCTGGATATTGATGATCTGCAGAGCATCAGAGCTCTCCGTGACTTCCTAAAGGAGAAATATGGAGGGCTGAATGTGCTGGTTAACAATGCAGGGATCGCTTTCAAAGGTAGGAAGCAGACTGTCTGGGATAGTACTATGTGCTACAAAGCTATGCGGAGAAGGATAGTAGATGCATCAAGGATTTCAAAAAGCTACTTATATGGGACTTCTGTGCCAATGGCATGCTGCTTTCTTGGCTGGGCAAGCTGCCTACCTTCTTAAGTGTGATGAGAGGGTAATGTGAAATGGCTCTTCCTCTAGCATCTGTTGGGCTAACTGTGCATGTAAAGATGCTTCCCTGGAGTATTGTAACACATGCAAACCATGAAAATACTTTAGGCACACAATGCACATGAGCGGAGTTGGGTTTATTACCTCGGTGCCCATGAGTTTTACCAGGCCCATGGGAGCCCTGTGTGAATATCAGCTGTGTTCCTCAAGGATGTATGTTTTCTCTCTTCTGCAAGCCTACCACTTTGTTCTGTGCATTACATGATCAAGGATTCCAGTTGATACAAAAGAACCTTTGGCCCTGGGTGATTTTGTCATCTTTACACATCTTTAACAGGCCATTGAGTTACCTGTAGAACAGTAAATCTAAATCTTCCTGTGCCGAGCAAGAATTTAACTATTTCATCTTCTAATGGACAGGAAGGCAGGGAAAGTGAAGAAGATGCAGCAGTTGTAAGGTAGAAGAGTGTGTTCTCCTTGTTGGTGTTTATAAAAACAAGTTGAGAATCATGTTAGCTCTAGATAGAGCAAATCACAAGCATGACTACTAGTTCCTTTCCCTGCCAGTACAAACTTGTTCTTTCCATATTTTCTGGTTTGATTTGTTTGGGTTGTTTTTAATCTCTGCCTGATCCCTAGCTGGGACATGTAACTGTTCAAGCGCAGCATTGTGCTGACTCATCTGCTCTCAGCATGAGTTAAGGAAGCTTGTCAGGTGGTATGGATCAAACCTTACCTGCTACTGAAGATGGAGCTTCTCATGTAGTGCGACTGCAGCAGTGGTGTTCTGAAGTCCAGTCGCTGTATGTTCTGCATGGTACTTTGCAGGAAGATTGCTTGTGTTCAAGGTCAGCTCAACAAAAGGCAACTCTTAATATAATTGTCTGAGCTGCAGGATGTATTAAAGATAGACAGGTGTTAAAACCTTGCAGCAACAGTTAAAAGATTGTATCTGTGTCCATGCTTATCACTTACAAAGCCTACAGGTGTTCAGACCAGTATTTCTTCAATTCATAATTAGGGCCTTAGCTCAGTCTACTAGTGACAGTGAGTTTGAGCAAGACTGGACTGCAACTACAGCAATTGAAGTGCAGTGTGTGTTTCTTGTTGCTGACTTTGCAGCAGCTGTAGTCTCCATCAAGGTGGGTTACCTGGACAGGTGAAATAAAAGCTCCTCAAATTGCTGCAGCAAGATTTGCTACAGCTCATCTGTGAGAGATCTTAGGTTTGTTGTCATGGAGCCACTGAACAGATAAATAGGTAAAAGACCATGGAGTTCCTCTTACTTCCTTTACAACATCACAGATTATTATTTTTTTATTCAGAAGTTGCTTCCAAATGTTTAGCCTAGACTTTCTTGAAGCTGGCAACTTACTCTGAGGCAGCAGTAGGTCATACAATTAAGAAATGTGATAGAGGAGCCAGCTGTAACTGTTGTGTAAGTATCTAGCACAGAGGCTAGAGGGCTTGACATCTGTGTAAGAAAGTGCTGTGATGCTTTCCTCATATTTTGGCTTTAATTCGTGTTTCTGAGATTGGCGTTTCTACCCAAGCTTCCTTCTTGCCTTGCCAGGTTTCTGCTACTATCCCAGAATTTATGCTTTCCTTTCTTTATTGTAGTACTGTATGTCATTGCTGTCTGTCAAAAATTGGATTTATTATTAAATTTAATTTATTGTTCAGTTTTCACGCTGCACTACGGATAGTCCATCAAAGTCCTTAGTCCAGCAAAAACTGTTCATGTATGAAATGATTATGTACCTGTGGGTTGCCTTCTGGATGAGGTTCTGTGAGAACAGTCATTATAGGAATGCTTCTTAGGTCAAGGAAGTGTGTATCTATCGGATGTTGCAAGTAACATAGTTTGTTAGACAAGTGAGTGGGTTTTGGAGTGCAGGGAAGCTTCTCCCTTGCAAGGTAGGTATGGAAGCAGGAGTTCAGAGTTGTGTGGGTTTTTATTTTCTTCTCCCACTGTCATAACTCTTGCAATAGGTCATGGTCTGGCTTTGTGTCTTGGATTTAAATTCAAGCAAGTGATTTGCCAAACTTGATGGTATCGGTGCCCCTTGCTTAAGGGTGTAAATAAGTCAGCCATGAAAGCTATGTTTTGCAATAGAAACACAACTGCAATAAATGCTAAATGACCTGTTACTGCTTCTCTTTTCAGTTTACATAGGTCTGGGCTATGGAGACAAGCGAAGACCTACCTAATCTATGTAGGTGGCCTTCACCACTGCAGAGATAGAGCCTGTAGCAGAAGGGGAGGAATGCTGTTACTTTAACTCTTACTTCCCCCTCAAAGTGGAGGACACATAGCATATGGCTTATTGCTGAGACAAATTGTCAGCTGATGGTGCATCTTACCCCACTTTTGGTGCTGGCAAGCTGTCAGTTCTGTCTGATGAAATCATACTCTTACAGTGCAGTTTCATGGTCTGCTTACCTAACTCAGCTCCCTTTCCTAGCTGTGAATTCCTGCTCTTTTGCTTGTGTTAGCACAGATCTGTCAGTTCAGGGGATGATTTATGACACATGCATTTATCAGTTTGGGGGTTGGTTGGGTTTTTTTGTTTGGTTGTTTTTTCAGACTGCAGCAAATCCTACCTCTGCATTCTTTATAGACGCTTTTACAGTGTTTGTTGCAATTTGGCACTGCTCTGACTTCCAAGTCCCAGCTAAGAACCCAAGACGTGACAACATGAGTCAGGTTAAAGGCAGTTGTTTGCTTTGTTGTTGGATGTTAGTACTGGGGTGGTAGTCTAACTTCTGCATCTTCAGTGGCAGCGTCCTAGATTCAGGATCTTTGCTTATGATTTCCCCTCTGCACCCTATCCTTCCCTGTATGTCAGAATGGTGGCAAAGTACGGTGCTATGCATTTAAGAGAAGAGAGTGCCTCAAAGTTTATTTGCATGTGGTAGTGGCAGCCCAAACAGAGCACTGGGTGTAAGTACAGGCAGGTCAGTGGGCAGGTTGGGCAGTACTCCCTGTGAGAGCAGTCTTTCCTTGTCTCTTCCATCTAAAAGGCAGAAAGACAAATGGCCTGTGGGTTGGCAAATGACTCTCTGCAGAGTGATGCAGTTGACTCTCCTGGGGCAAAGCTAAAGCCTTCCGCTAAGAAGAGGTGAAAACATAATTAGCTCATTATTAATTTAATATTGCAGAGCTGTATCTTTTCATTAATAAGAATGTGAGTGTTAGTGATGTTGGGGGTTTTTTTGGTATGTATTTTAATTGATCATATACCTGTTTCCTAATTATATTAAAAAAAAAAAGGAACTAAGATAAACTTTTGGGTTTTGGTAGTTTAGTAACTTTCTTTCAAACAGTAGTACAATTCTGATTTTTTTTTTTTTTTTTTTTTTTTTTTTTTTTTACTTTTTTTTCCCTCCCTTGCTACCACCTCCTACAAAAAGTTCATGACACAACTCCATTTGCTGTCCAAGCAGAGGTTACACTGAAAACAAACTTTTTTGGAACCAGGAATGTTTGCACAGAATTGTTGCCTCTTGTGAAGCCTTATGGTAAGTGTAACATAACAAGTAGAGAAACAGTTTTATATGAATTTTGGTTCCCATTAAATGTGAAAATCCTGTCCTGTCTCAGAAGCACACTGCCTCATAGCAAGAAGAGTGCAACTTGCTGTACTGTAGATAAGAGAACAGATGGCCTTTCATGACCCCCAAAATGTCTTTGCTGTGTATATTTACATCTACTCTCAAGCCAGTCACATTCTTCTGATATGGATTGAAGTGGAATTCTCATGGTGCCCTCAAGAAGACATATGAAGAACCTACCCATGTTCTGTCTGTGATATTTGCCTACATAAATTGTTATTGCTTCAGAAAGGACCTTTTGATGCTAAAACTAGGATAAGGAAGTACCTAAAAATAGTGTTTTGGCTGAGTTTGATGTGACTTGCCTGTTCTTGCTACTACTGAAGAAGCCTTCCCAGTAGGCTGTTGGTCTGGCTCTATCTAGATCACAGCCTTTGCTGTATTTGCAAGTGTATAGTGATGTAGTTATAAATGGCACTTGAAGATGTACATTAAGTTACTGTGATTTGGTGATGTTAGGAGGAACTAGAAGAAGACACTCTACCAAAAATGGTAAATAGAATGGACCAGGATCAAAAAAGATAGATGCATCGATAATAAAGAGGTGTTAGCAACATGCAGGTAATCTGTACTGCATGTTACCTGTACAGTACACAGAATGCTCCTGTTCATGAAACCTGGGAGCACTGGAAGTGCCCTGGAATGCTACTGACATACCACGGGTGATTTGAAAGGAGGGTATTTGGATCCAATACCCACACCAAATCTAAGGGGTTTTTAAATACAATTCTTTTCAAGACTTCTGATCACTAGATATTTTTGTGCATATTTGGGTAAGTGTTTGCTGCTGTGAATGAAATGTTGTCTATACCAACATTTTAAGAGAAAAGAAGTCAAATAGATGAGAAGTTGGGAACTGTTAGTCCCTAGGGAGGAAAGAAAGGATGGAGTAAAATGAATTTTGTAGGCTGGTAGGAGAGAGAGTAAACAGTGCCAAAATTGCGATTTAGTCCTCTTGTACTAAGGGTTAAAGTCATTAATGGAAAGGATTAATTCTGTGGCTTTTAAGATCTAAATCCTCATGTTCGTTCCCTAGTTCATAGCCGGAATGGCTGTGAGCTAGCAAGAAAGAGGGAAACAGTGTAACATAATTTTGAGAAAGATGAGTGAATTACTGATTCAGCTGGCTCATTCCTCGGTACTGGAGTGTTGGGAGATAAATAGCTTACTACAGTTTTTCATGCTGTGATTTGTTAATCTTAGGTATTCTGCAAACCAGCTGATGGTCTCACTGTGTTAAGAACTAGATTGCTGTTGTTGAATTCTGTATTATTCTGGCACTTTACTCAAGCAGTTGCAGAAGTGAGAATGTTTTTGACCAGAACTTTGAGAGTAAAGACTGGCTGCTATTACTGAGAAAACCACTTACTACTATGAATATGCCTACAGATTGTAACAGGCTATTTTCTGGAAGAATACCTGAAGTTCTATAGAGAGATTTTGCAGGTTCACACCTTAAATTACCCTTTGTAATGGAGTTCACTAGAAACACTTGACAGTGAGTTAACTGTGATCTTCCAGAAGCTCTGCAAAATAGCTCACACAAAATATTTTACAGATATTCAACTAAGGAGTGAATACGTAACTGTAGAGCAAGCCCACTTCAGTGTCTGGGCTTGCTTAATATGTGTGAAAGTAATCTGTCTTTATTCTCTTTTATCAGGTAGGGTGGTGAATGTCTCTAGTATGGTAAGTAGCTCAGCTCTGGGAGGCTGCAGCCGAGAACTACAGCAAAAGTTTCGCAGCGACACGATCACGGAAGATGAGTTAGTGGAACTCATGACCAAATTTGTGGAAGATACCATGAAAAATGTGCATGAGAAAGAGGGTTGGCCAAATACTGCCTATGGGGTATCCAAAATCGGTGTCACAGTCTTGTCCAGGATTCAAGCCCGGATGTTGAATGAGAAGAGAAAAGGTGACCACATCCTTCTCAACGCCTGCTGTCCTGGGTGGGTGAGAACAGATATGGCAGGTCCTAAAGCCACTAAATCGCCAGATGAAGGGGCCGAGACCCCAGTTTATTTGGCTCTTTTGCCTTCTGATGCTGATGGTCCTCATGGCCAGTTTCTTAGTAACAAAACTGTTCGAACCTGGTGAGCTTATGTACGTGGACCCGTGCAAGCAGTAACATGACTGTGGATTAGCCTGTGCCTTGGTAGGGCATTTAGCCAGAGTAGTCTCATCCTGTCCACAGCGGCAAGCAGGGTCCTTTAGCATTACAGTGAGGGTTACAGTTACGGTACTTCTCTGGGACTAAGTCTACCATAGGGTATGCTTCCCAACAGTTTCCATTAGCCCGCTCACAGCATTGACTGCATAGCCCAAAATCTGATTTGTGGGTGTTCCAGCCCAGATGATACAGGCTAATTTGGTGTTGCCCTAATGTAGAGGTGCCTGACCTTGTTTACATGAATTTCCTTTTAATTAAATCATTGCCAGCCCTTCTCCCGCTCCCCCGAGACAGGTTTCTGACATGGAGTTGGGATGAGGAAGCAGATGCCTTGTGCTTTCTCAGCACAGTAGATCTTTCTAGGGACCACTTCTTGAGGCTGTGCAGGGTTTCTTAAAGGGGGAGGGGTTATTCCGAGGTCTACAGTCTGAACAGTTTGCGGGGAGGCTAGTAAGACTGGAACAGAATCACTGCTGTATAGAGATTCCTTATTATCAGTACAAAATGGAATGAGGTGAAAATGAAAATAGCAGCGACATACCATTAATAGAACTTAATCAGTTGGCTTTATGAATATGTATGTTAATAAATGATTACTTCCTGATTTGTATTCACCCAGATGGCTTATTCTGATACTAAAAATATACAACACTTGAAAATACACTTTCATTTTCTGCAGCTAAGTTTGTAGCTGGAATATGTGATGTTTAGACTATATAAAGAGAAAATAAATGGCAGAACTGATATATACCAAACTATTCCTCAGGACTTATAGTTCACTTATTGCATAGCCAGAAGTTTCCTTATTAAAAACCTGGATGAAGTCCTGTCCATATAGTAGAGAAAATGAACTGTAAATGTTACAATACTATTACAGGATAGGACTAAAATACATAATTATCATGATAACCAAAAAGTAGAGGAAGCAGTGACATGGAGAGCACCAAATCTGTTTTCTCATTTAAAATGTTGGTTATTGCATTTCAAATGCTTAATCTTGAAAGGTTGCCACAGCATTTCAAGCTGTAGAGGTGGAGCCATGTGGCAGCAGAGGCAGCCTGGGAGTAGGGCAGGGGACCTGGGACAGCCCCAGGCTGTGGGGCAGCTGGCTGCAGGGGCATGGAGTGAGGTGGGGTTTGGTCACCCCCAGGCTACAACCATGCAGCCCTTTCTCCACTATGTCCTGCCAGCCTGGACAAAAGCCATGGTGGGGGCTCTGGGGCCCTGGCCCGTGTTGCCCACAGGGGGAAGCCGTCTTCCTCTTGCTGTGAGAAGAGCTGAAGGAGCTGGAGACAATTGCCTATAAACTTGTCTGTAGTAATGACAAATCAGCAATGGGCATGTTAATTCCTAATCAGGAGTCAGCAAGGCAATGACAAAGTGGCTTAGCTGGCTGGGCTTTACAGTGGCTTCCCCTGGTACAGTCTGTGTTCAAGGAAGCCTTGGATCAAAAGATGTTGGACGTAAAATAATATGTGCGGTTTTGGTAATCACTTACCAGCACAGAACAAAGGTGTGATTATTAGTTGGTCTTTCAAGGGTACAGTAGCTATTGTTTTTATGAAGATGGAAGTATTGCCAAATGAGTCATGCCCCAGAGCTCACTGAAGAGCAGGATGGGTGCTGCTCCAGAAGTTCTCATATTAATCTATTCTCAATGAAGAAAAAAATCTCAGTTTAAGGGCCTGTTTAAGTTGCAAAATGCCTATATAAAGTTTTTTATGCATTTTATGTATTACCAACAGCCTGCCTGCAGTATGATAGCTCCAAAAGCCGGTTAATACAGCAAGTTCAGTGCTGTTCTGAAATAACCAGTTTGTGTATGCTTTTCTAGTTGTGTTAGCAGTATCTCAACAAAATAAAACATGGCTGTTGTGTTTTAGTAATAATTTTTGCAAAACTTTGAAATGTAATCCAACAGTGGATGACCATATATAGTTCTTCATACTTGAAATGCTGCTTGAGTTATTAAGTTTCAAAAGTTCTGTGCCCTTCTGCTTGGCATGTACAAACTTCCCAAGCAAACCTTGACCCAGCTTTTATACCGTTTGCGCAAAGACGAGACTGTAAGAGTGCTAGGTATGTTTACCTTAGCTGTATAGTATGCATTGTTAAATACAAATTAGTTTCTAAACATCCCCGATGTGCTATAAAGCTCCCTCTTAAGTCTAATTCAGGATCTGGGGTGGGTTTTTTGTTTGTTTTTTTTTTACATTCAAGCCAAGCAAATGACAAGTTTGAAAGTTTTACGAAAGATGAATTTCAAATTCTTATATGAAGCCCTTTCTCAGTGCTTGTTCTTTGTTAAACCTACTTACCCTATTTCAGGGTAAGGAAGGAAAGTGGAAGATGATGGCTAAGTAGTCATCTTCAGAAATGTCGTTTCTCATGGTGAAATTGATTATAATACAGACAGTTTCTTCTGGTATGAACAGCAGTAAGAGCAGAGGACAGATCTTTTCACAACCTTTGCAGCTGTGGTGCGGTATTCAAGGAAGGAGAATCAGCTATGTGGGTACAACCTCAGCTGTAGGAGGTAGAAACAAGAGGCAGAAAATATTGACAGGACCAGTTGGAGTCAGGAAGGAGGTTATGCAGGAGAAGCATGTCCCCCAGTGACACTGGTAGGAAAACTGTGTCCTAGGAATGGAGCTAAGACTGTGTGGGGCAGACTGCCAGGGAAGGGCTGTTTGCTGAGAGCAGAATCAGAGGACAGGCTGTACAGCATGTGTGGCAGGCTGGATCTTTGGACAGGGCTTGCATTGTTCAATCAAAATTTCCTTCCTTTTTTTTTTTCTAAGTGGTCTCCCTGCTTCTCTCCCATGTCCATTGTGTCTGAAGTATTTTGTTGCTTTCACACTCTGGCACACTTGCTGAGTGGTTATTGTGTAAAGTTTAAGGGTTAGGAAAAGGATGAAACAATAACGATCTGTTGTACCATATAAAACTTCTACACGTGATTTACTGTTTTTCTTTTTACGGCATGTCACTACCACTTTTACTTTTTGGAATTTATTGGCCAAAGAAAATGCCTGGCAATGCAGTAGCTGTGGTGACACAGGACGATAAAGGAACTGGATTCACAATTGTGAGAGCTCAGTGGAGGCAGCTTCTTGGGGATGCCGTAGCTTGTGCAGGATGCAGTCAGGCAGCAGTGGCAAAGCTTTGGGAGTGGAAGCTGTACCTGCTGCTGCATCAGCTGGATATAAACAGTGTCCAAGGCCTCTGGGACTTCCTGAAGAAGAAGCTACAGACATCCCAGTGTGCTGGTTAACAATGCAGACATCATTTTCTAAGGCTGTAATAGGCCGGCTGTTCGGCAGAGCTTTGCTTTCAAAAGCCAGTGATCTAAAGGTATGGGGGCAATCAGTAAAGAGACTTGTCTGCTCTAAACCTTTTTGAATCTAAAGGGGGTTACAACCAGGTTGTTTCTATCTGGATCCTCTGCAATGATGATAGCTCTGTCATGGGCCAGACTTTTGCATCTGTTACGGTTCCAGTGCTCTGTAGTGCAGGGCATTTGGTTTTCGAAACTGTAGACATGCCTAGAGAGCTTGAGATCAGTTTACCTAAAGAAATGAAGACAATATACCTAGCTTAACGTTGTTTCCTTAAATTTTCCATTTAAGTGTTTTCCTATATAAATAATGAAGATGACAAGAACTCTTGAGAATTCATTTACGCCCACAGATAATTTCAATTGAACCCATCTCTTACAGTAGTATAACCCAACATATAGGCAGTGTCCTGACTTTGAATGTTGTTGTGCTCCTCTCAGCCTAAAAATGTGTCAAAATTTACATTATATATGCCACCCAGTATTACTTAAAACACTTACATGCAGAATATAATTCAAACTCTAGTCTCATGTTAGTATAGGAATGGTTTTAGCTTTTTAATCTTAAATAATGAAAAAAGAGAATCATAGAATCGTTAAGGTTGGAAAAGACCTCTTAAGATCATCAAGTCCAACCATCAACCCAACACTATCATGCCCACTAAACCGTGTCCTGAAATGCCACATCTACATGTTTTTTGAACACCTCCAGTGATGGTGATTCCACCACTTCCCTGAGCAGCCTGTTGCAATGCCTGACCACTCTTTCAGTAAAGAAATATTTTCCTAATATCCAATTTAAACCTCCCCTGGTGCAACTTGAGGCCATTTCCTTTCATCTTATTGCTAGTTACCTTGGAAAAGAGACCAACGTGCACCTTACTACAACCCCCTTTCAGGTAGTTGTAGAGAGTGATAAAGTCTCCCCTCAGCCTCCTCTTCTCCAGACTAAACAATTCCAGTTCCCTCAACTGCTCCTCATAAGACTTGTGCTCCAGACCCCTCACCAGCTTTGTTGCCCTTCTCTGGACACGCTCCAGCAACTCTATGTCCTTCTTGTAGTGAGGGACCCAAAACTGAACACAGTATTTGAGCTGCGGCCTCACCAGTGCTGAGTACAGGGGCACGATCATTTCCCTGCTCCTGCTGGCCACACTATTTCTGATACAGGCCATCCTTGGCCACCTGGGCACACTGCTGGCTCATGTTCAGCTGGCTGTCAACCAGCACCCTGAGGTCCCTTTCCGCCAGGCAGTTCTCCAGCCACTCTTCCCCAAGTCTGTAGTGTTGCATGGGGTTGTTGTGACCCAAGTGCAGGACCCGGCACTTGACCTTATTAAACCTCATGCAGTTGACCTCTGCCCATTGATCCAGCCTTTCCAGATCCCTCTGCAGAGCCCTCCTACCCTTGAGCAGATCAACACTCCTGCCCAGCTTGGTGTCATCTGCAAACTTGCTGAGGGAGCACTCAATCCCCTCATCCAGATCATCGATAAAGATAATGAACAAGACTGGGGCCAAAAACTGGGCCCTGGGGAACACCGCTTGTAACAGGCCACCAACTGGATTTAACTCCATTCACCACAACTCTCTGAGCTCAGCTGTCAAGCCAGTT